CCCTGGATTTGGGATGTGTTGTCCCCCCAAATGCCTGACTACTAAGGCCGAATTTGGTGGCCCAGCTGTCCTGAGCCTCTCCATCCTGTCTGCCCCCAGGGCCTCTCTCTGGCTGGCTAAGAGCGGCAGGCAGCTCACCGCTCAGTGTTGTCATGGAGAAGGTTTTTAGAAACATATTGTTGGATTGCAGGCGTATTTCTGCCACCTGGAAACAAGTGGGTTTGTAGAAAAGCCACAGTGGATGGAAAGAATGGGTTCTTGGAGGGCAGAGCTGGTGCCAGGAAAGCCAGCCGCGGTGCAGGGACGGGGAGCCTGCCCCGCTGCTATTTGGTATTCTGGGCAGGCAGCTGAGAGCGATGGCTTTGGTTCCTGCTGGACTCCCAGGAGCTTGTGTGAGACAGCAGGCTCAGCCTCTGCAAAAAAGTTTGCAGATTATAGAGTAATGAACTGCTGTGCAGCCCAGTTTGTGGAAGATCAAGTGGGCTCCCTGCCATGGAGACGCACTGATGTAAATTTATGTTTCACGCAGGCAGAAAAGCTGTGCTTGCCCCTGCAGGCCAGCAGGCAGGCTGCCCTTAACCTGTCTGTGCCAGCTTCTCATGGGCCCTGGATGTCCCAGCCATCTGGGGCCCCCTCCACTCTCCCACCCTCAGTTCTTGCAGGAGCCTCAGACACCCCATTTAGGGCACCTCCCACTCCACTGACTGGTTTTATAGGTCAAAACAGTTGAATATTGACAGTATTAACCTCTTTGTAAGCTGCAGGGCGACTTGACATCTTTCATCAGGATTGGATGATAAGAACATTAAAGAAAATAAGGCATAGATTTTCTCTTGTCTCGTAAATATAATCTATGGCTTTCTAAATGATTCTAAATTCTGGTATTCTGTCTAATGGCAAGTTGCCACTTTCCAAATGATGCTCAGGCTACCAATTTTGCCCTCAAAGTTACAGAGCACATTGCCTTTCCCTTGAGAAGGGTTATATACTCTTTCTGTTACTTGAGGTAGAGATGAGATCCATTCTAACGCACACATAGAGAAACGGCATCTCAAAAGTGCCTTCTAGCCGGGCATGTTGGCTCATTTCTGTAATCCCAGCAGCTCGGGAGGCTGAGATAGGGGGAATGGTGAGTTCAAAGCCAGCCTGAGCAATTTAACGAGGCTCTAAGCAACTTAGCGAGACCCTGTCTCTAAATAAAATATTTTTAAAAAGGGCTGGGGATGTGGCTCAGTAGTTGAGTGCCCCTGGGTTCAATCCCCAGTACCAAAAGAAAGAAAAAAAGAAAAAGAGTGCCTTATAACAGATTTCAAAGTTTGTAACTAGTTTGAACATAAACCCAAAAAACTATGAATTTTTTATTTCTCGTACTTTTTTTTTTCTTTACTAAAAGTTTTGACAACATTTTTCCTCCTTCTTTTGTGGTGCTGGGGACCAAACCCAGGGCCTCACGCCTGCTAGGCCATATCCCACCCATTTTGGCAACTTTTGAAAGCCTTTGCCTGCCCTTATCTATGTAGATCTGATAAGTAGGGACTAGGGCTACATCTTGAGTCAGGACCTACTTACCAACTGCCCAAATAGGAAAGGCACCTGCCCGCTCCTTTCTCTTCCCTGGACCTTGTGTCAGGTCCCTTAAGTTGGAGTTATGTCCTCTTATTTTTCAGTCAGGGCTTTGACTTATTTGGCCATCTTCAGACTAATAAGATACATGCTGGTCTGAATTTCTCTGTCTGCCACGTCTCCCCCAGCCCTTCTCCCTTTTAATTTCCTTTATTTCTGTAATCTCATTACATCTTCCCCTTTCTTGAACCTAAAGATTACTCTGCCGATTCTAATAAACCTTTCATAAATCAGCACTTTGTTTTCCTGGAGAAGTTTTGCTCACTTCCTCCCCTCTCTCCCTTTTCTTCTGTTTCTACTTTTTTTTTTTTTTTAGTGACTTCAGGAAGTGGAAGCCCAGGCCGACTTAGATACCCAGGGCCAGAGCTTCTGGCTGGATCTACATCAGACAGTTCAACTACTTCACTCCTAATCTGTTTTGGTTGTGAATTTCAAGCAAGAAGCAGGAAGCACTTTCCTGGTTAATGCCACGTAGGTAACAGGTAAGATGAAGTCCAACCCAGTGGGTTTCCCTTCATAGGAAGGAAGCAGGTGAATGGTGTCTCACCCAAACCCCTGGCTTCACAGGATAATGAGCATAAGCCTTTACCTCTGTATGAAGAAGGAGTAGCCAATTATAAGTGGAACACTTGAGTGCAGGCAAAGCCCTGAAAATAAAACAGGTCTCTGGCAGCCCAAGTGAAAGACAGACATTTATTAAACTGCTCTAATGGATTGTTATTATTATCACTATCATCATTGTTATTATTACTACTACTACTATTATTTTTAGTTGTATATAGACACAATAACTCTATTTTATTTTTTATGTGGTGCTGAGGATCAAACCCAGTGCCTCACACATGCTAGGCAAGCACTCTACCACTGAGCCACAACCCCAGTATTATTATTTGTAAGATGAAATCTTCCAGAAAATCACATAGCTAGGGATAGTTGGAAGCTAAGTCCTGGGCACTTGCAACAGCCCGATAAGATCAGAATGCCTGGGTGTCTAGAGTAGAAATTTCCAGCACAATGGCCAGGAAGAGACTTATTCATATCATTGAAATGGATAGGTGGATGGATGATGTCTAGCTTCTCTTTGAGCTAAAAAGTATCATGATCTGGTGGCTTAGAAAATTAAAGGCTAGCCCCAGATGACACAAATTTTCTAGGAAGGAGCCAGGCATGGGGGTGCATGCCTCTAATCCCAGAGACCCTGGTGGGTGAGGCAGGAGGACCTCATGTAGGCAAACTGAACTTGAACTAGGCTTGCCTTCTGCAGCAGTGCTTCTCAAATTTGAATTTGCAATTCAAAACAGCTGTGGGCGTTATAAAAAAACACTTCGATTGAGAAGGTCTGGGGTGGAGACCCAGTTCTTCATCTCTTTTTTCCTATTATTGATTCTTTTTTAGTTATACATGATATAGAATCTATTTTGATATAATTATACAGGAATGAAATATATTTTATTCTAATAGGATCCATTCTTGTGGATGTATAAGATGGTGAGATTCACTGTGGTATATTCATATATGTACCTAGGAAAATGCCAGATTCATTCCACCGTCTTTCCTAATTCTCTCTCTGCTCCCTTCCTTCATTCCCCTTTGTCCAATCTACTGTTCTATTCTCCCTGCCCACTTCCCCATTCTTCCCAGGTGATGCCAATGCTGTTGGTCTGTGGCCCATACTCTGAAGTAGAAAATTCTAGAGCAGTGCTACCTAATAGAACTTTCTGTGATGATGGGAATGTTCTAGATTTTTGCTGTCCAATATGGTGGGCTCCAGCCCACATGTGACTCCTAAACACCATGTGCCATTGAATATTTAGTTTTATTTAAATTTAATGAAATTTAGGCACATGTGGCTCATGACTACTGAATTAGAAAGCACAGTTCTACAACAGTGGTTTTCAAACTTAAATGAAATCAGAATCAGCTGAAAAAACTGGATAAAACCAAGATTGAGGGTTCCACCCTCAGAAAATCCAATACTAGTCTTGTTGGCCCAGGTACCATACTTTGAGCACCTCTGCTGTAGAACAAGCACAATCCAAAGATGCGCTAAGCTTTAGAATGAGCATAAGGTCTGTTGTCTCTGAACAAACTTCCATCTACCCTCAGTGCCAGCAGGACCCACCAGATCCAAACGAGGTGAGTTCTCTCACTATAGGCCTTATGGGCATGATTCAAAAGGCTGGTGGCGGGACACTCCAGGAGGGCCCTTTTATAAAATCCCATTCCCATTGATTCCCAAGAAGCAACAAAACATACTGGTTAAAATCATGTACTATTTAGTCAGACTAACTGGATCCAAGCCAGCTCTGCCCAGCACTTGCTATGTGACCTTGGGCAATTGCTTTCAACTCAGGGCCTCAATTTTATCATCTGTCAAATGGGAATAATGGTACCTACCTCATAGACACCTTATAAGAATTAAGGACTTAAAACAGTTATCAAACAGTGCAAGGGCCCAGTATACATTAGCTCTTGTCATCCCTTCAATCCCAGGCTTAGCAAATTGATCCCTTCTGCTGTGTATTTTGCTCACCCTGCAAGTCTTTTTGAACAAGCAGATGCTCCTAGTAGGCACGTTCCACTTACTCTAGTATTTTTCTGAGGGCTCAGGAGGCCTCTGAGTTCTTCTGGGGTTTACCTCCAGAGTATCCAAGGGCAGAAGAAAGGTACAAGGTAGGAATATACTCAGCAACTTCCCACATTCTCTGTCCTCACTTCCCCCTGCCAAGCAGGAGCCAGCACAGGCCAGCCTACTGTTGAGCACCTCTGTGTCCATGTACATCCAGGATGAGGAGACTTCTGCAAACCCAGCCCTGAAACTAACCTCCAGGCAGATGTCTGCAGGGCAGGAGTCAGGAAAAGAGATGGGATATTTGCTCAGGATCCACCTCTCTCTTCCTGCACCAATATCTACTCCTACAGTGGGCCCACTGTGCATTGGGAAGTAGATCTGGGCCAAACCCAACCAGGGATGTGCATTATCACTCTCCCTGGTTGGGTTTGGCCCAGATCTACTTTCTAATTCCATGTGGCCATATCAGAGATGGCTGTGTATCCCAGAATCCCTGCTAGGTGCCACCACATCCTGCAGCCCCAGAGCCCCTTAGAACAGTGGTTCTCCCAGATTCTCTCCTACTTGATACTGCTAAGGGTGCTCTCACAGGATCTGAGTATCACCAGGACAGAAGCACAACCTCTTTTACCTTAGAGAGATATGGAAATTATTAAAAACAAAACAACAACAAAAAAACATTGTAGCAGAAAGCTACTTTTGTCATCATTTAAGAAGTCAAAACAAAATGTCCAAAATTATTATCAGGTGTCAACTTTATTGCCAAACAAGGTAATTTAGTAAACAAGGTAATCTTTTTCCCACCCCCACCATCCCAGACAACTCCCAGGGGAACCATTATTCCAAAGCACCTTCCTTGGAATGTTTGGGGTCCCAAACATTCCTTGAGATGTTACACCTTCCTTGGAATGTTGCCACATAGGGAAGGATACCCACAACCCCAGAAGGGCTACCATCTAAGCCTGGTGTCCACCAGTACTACCCCATTCCTTTCTTTACCACCTTTCCTAGTCAGATAATAGTATCCATGAATTGAGTGCTAGTTGCCAGAGACTGTGCCACTGTTTTCTAACCATTCACTGATTTAACAACTCCCTTAATTTTATAGATGTCTTAATTTTATAGATGACAAAGGGACATGTACAAGAGTACAGAATTGCTAGAATAAATGAAGACACTTGTTCCCTTGGCAATCTCCTTGCCTTGGTGTGAAGACCACATAAGCTGGATCTTCAGATCTTTATGAATGCCAGTCATTCTGTGACACCGAAAATTACTGTTTTCACACTCACAACGGACAATTACTGTTCTAGATTGTCAACATTTGGGTACCTAAATCCCATTTCCCAGCCAATCTCTCACACTAAGTGAGAGAACATGCTGGGAAAGTCAAGTGTAGTGGCAACGTGAAAATCCTTTATCACTTGTGAGGCTCAGTGATGGATTTGGGACATGCAGACACCATGTTTAGACTTGGGCCTAATGCAGCCTTCCAGTGGAAGCCTTCAGCCTGCTGGAGGTACATGGAATCAATGGACCCCCACCAAAGAGCAGCTCAGTTTTTCCAGAGCTTACCCTTCCCTGGAAGAGTGAGAGGACTATGAAATGCTGATGCTGGGGTTGGTAGGAACGTGGGCATGCACATACATGCTTAGACATGGAAGATGTGAATCGTCTTTCTGATAGTCCTGTGAACTGTGCAAGTATCTGAGGCAAAAACGTGTTATTGATACTGTGTCAGTGGAGAGGAAGTAAGACATAAGCACTTCAAAATGACAGCTAATTTAAATGGGACTAGGTTTTGGTGCTCATGAAGGACATGACTGTGTGTCGTATGTGGAGAACTACTAACCCTGCCAAGGATGATGTTTTCTGTGTTCCTCAGAAGGAAACCATCCCCATCCCATATTCTAATACCTGCTACTAATTCTAGCTTCTGTCTCATCCCCATTTGGGATTCCTATTGGAAACCAAAGCAGCATCAGGAATAGAAGTGAAGAGTGGGGGGCTTGTTGGGGAGATGTTGGGCAGAGAGGGGGTACATGTAGAGAGGACACCAGAGAACTCCATGAAACAGCACAGACTGAGTCAATGAGGTGCTCTCCTCTAAAGACACACAGAACCAAAATGTGACTAGGTGTCACACTCAGGCCACAGGAGACACTCACATTCAAATGTGCCACATTAAAAGCTGAAACAACATTTGTAGAATCAAGGGTTGTCTGCTGCTGGGTCCCTGAAAGCTCCTTTCCAGGCTGGGCCAAGAAACACCAAGTTTCCCTGTGCTCCTCCAGGACAGGCAGGGTGGAGGTGGAGTCACACGGCAGGGGGCGGGGTGCAAGCAGGTCTACACAGCAACCTCTGTGTAGCGTCAATGACTTAGAAGCCTTAAGAAGTGGGATGTTTTGATTTGTTGGGACTTTTCAATGGGAAATGCTTCTGAAATGCTGACTTTTTTCTCTTGGTAAGAGCAGCAGTTGACTGAGCAATACCCTGTTTGGTGAATTGGGACTCTGCCTGGCCTGAGGCTGTTTTCTAGGTCCACAATCATTATTTGTGCTTCTTCCCTAAAAGGCATGACAGATAATACTTACTTTCCCTTCCCCCCCCCTCTACTGTAATTCAAAGCTGTTTAAGTACATGACATTACAAATTTGACCTGATTAACCAAGGCTCCTCTGAAGGAAAAGAGAGCAACAGTGATTAGACATGGTTGATTGGCAGATGGCTTGTCCCCAGGAGACTGAAAGGGCTTGAAGTGAGTGCCTCAAGGGACCATCAGGTCTGCCTGATAGCCACCAGGTGGGAAGGACACCAGGTGGGAGGGTGGTAAACCCAATGGGGAAACAGACATCTGCCATGGCATTGCAACACAAATGATCACCAGGGTCAATGATCAGAAAGTTTCTATTCACCAGCATCAAGAGCAGTGCCTTGGCCAGGTGCAGTGGCGCACACCTGTTAATCCTACCTACTCTGGAGGCTTAGGCAGGAGGATGGCAAGTTTGAAGCCCAGGCTGACAGCTAAATGAGACCCTGTCTCAAAATTAAAAAATAAAGCTGGGCACTGTGGCACACACCTGTAATCCCAGTGGCTTGGGAGGCTGAGGCAGGAGGATCACAAGTTCAAAGCCAGCCTCAGTGAAAGCAAGGCACTAAGCAACTCAGTGAGACCCTGTCTCTCAATAGATACAAAATAGAGCTGGGGATGTGGCTCAGTGGTTGAGTGCCTGGGTACCGGTACCAAAATAAATTAAAACAAAATAAACAAAGTTTGGTGTAGTGGTGCATGCCTGTAATCCCAGAGACTCAGGAAGCTAAGGCAGGAGGATCGCAAGTCCAAGACCAATCTCAACAATTTAGGCCCTAAGCATCTTAGGAAGACCCTGTCAAAATAAAAATTTTTAAAAAGGGCTTGGAGGGGCTGGGCTTGTGGTAGAGCGCTCCCCTAGCACCGGCGGGACCCGGGTTGGATCCTCAGCACCACATAAAAATAAAGGCATTGTGTTGTGTCCATCTACATCTAAAAAATGAATGTTTAAAAGGGGGGGGGGGCTGGGAGTGTTGCTCAGTGGTTAAGCACCCCTGAGTTCAAACCTCAGTACCAAAAAATAAAAAATAAAAAGGGATGGGGTGTAGCTCAATGGTAGAGCATCTTCCTAGCATGTGTGATAGGTTCAATCTCCAGCACTACAGGAAAAAAAAAAAAAAGGAAAGAAAGGAGCTGGAGATGTAGAACACTTGCCTGGCAGTGTTTAAAGGAGAGGAGTTAAGAGGCAGACTTTACAGAATGACCTGACACTAACTGCATTCTTCTTCTTTTTTTTGTACCAAGGATTGAACTCGGGGTCACTCGACCACTGAGCCACATCCCCAGCCCTATTTTGTATTTTATTGAGAGACAGGGTCTCACTGAGTTGCTTAGTGCCTGGTTTTTGCTGAGGCTGGCGTTGAACTCGCCATCCTCCTGCCTCAGCCTCCTGAGCCACTGGGATTACAGGTGTGTGCCACTGCACCCAGCCAAACTGAATCCTCATTGCTACAGCTTGAGTAAGGTTTGCCCCCAAGTTTGTGTGTTGGAACCTTGGTCCCCAGTGTGATGATGCTGAGGTGAAGGAGCCCTTAAGAGGTGGGGCCTAAAGGAAAGTAATCAGTCATCAGGACTCCGCCCTCATGAATGAACTAGTGCTGGTCTTGCAGAATGCATTGGGTCTTGTAGGAATGGACTGGGAGGGGAGGACTCATGATCCCCATTCTGTAGGTAGGGAAAACCAAGGCATAGAAAGTGATTTACCCAAAATTACATAATAAGTCAGAAAACAAACTGGGTTAAGGGTCAGGTAGAATCATTCATATACCTTTCCAAAATACCCACATCTGGCTCCTCCCCAGTTTCCTGCTTCTTGTCTTGCCATGTGACCTCTCTCATGAGCCTCTACCATGGAATGTCCTTCTCCACCAAGTCCTCACCAGAAGCCAGATGCTGGTACCTCCACATCTGTGAGCTAAATAAACCCTTTATTTACAAATTACCCAGCCCCGGTTATCTTGTTTTAGCAACACAAAAGGGACTAAGAAATTCACCTATCTTCACCACCCCACAGACTCTTCTTCGCTGTTGGCAAATCCTCCTTGCTGCCCTGTTGAAAGCCCAGGATCTCTGTGCTTACAAGGAATTTTCCATTTTCCTGTCCAGTTGTGGTATGGGCATTGGTCACTGCATGAGAAGGACATTGGACTAATTTCACCAATGATTTCATCTTAAATGGTTTTGTCCTGTTTCCCTGGTAACCAACCAAACTAAAGCTTCTTCCAACCCTTTCCACTCCTCCCCCCACCCCCCAACTCCTTCACATTCTCTCTTTTTTGAACAAGGTAAATGTGAAGGTCTGTGGCCACTTCCAGGCTGCAATCCCTTGGATAATAAGAAAACTTCCAGCATGGCTCTTTCTGCCCAGTTCTGGAGACTTGTGAGAATCCTGTACTGCCCCGTAGAATACACATCAGGGGGCTGTTTCCTACCCACCATCCATGGCCCCTCCCATGTTCTCTTGCCATATTTTAGAATACGAAACAATCTTTTCTCTCTGGCATCATTTCAAAGAAAAGAATATAAATTAAAGGCCCAACAGATTCTAAAAACCGTTCCTCTTTAGAAAGTACCATGAACATTTCCCTAGAAAACAGAGGTGGGTCTATATTTTAGTGAATGGTCTGGAATTTGGAGAGACCGTTCCATATTGCCACTAGGTTTGGCTTCTAATTTTGCTTGAATTTTACTTAGCTATATGAATTTTTTTTTTAAGAATTCAAAGGGGCTTTTTGTCTTTAACGGTGATTCTTAGTGCAAATCTCCCCCCCCCCCTTTTTAATACTGATAATTGAACCCAGGGGTGCTTAACCACTGAGCCACATCCCCAGCCCTTTTTGAGACAGGGTCTCACTAAGTTTCTTAGAGCCTAAGTTGCTGAGGCTGGTCTCAAACATTCGATCCTCCTGCCTCAGCCTCTGAATCACTGGGATTACAGGTGTGCACCACCGTGTCCGGCACAAATCTCTCATGGTGACATTTGGGCCTGAGCCTTCACACCATATGTGACACTATCATCTGCAATGTGCCTTCCAAGGCCATTCCTTCTATAATAGGTCACAGTTGCACATTATACTCTAATTATATTATGGTCACATGACCCTTACTGTTTATAGCAATTGTGCCTGCAGTTCTAGAGTGATAGAACTGTGAAGGTCATGTGGATTCTGATTCATCCTCACAGTGCTTGTGTGAAAGGGAGGGAAGGAATCATGATCCCCATTCTGCAGATGAGGGAACCAAGACATAGAAAGAAAGGTGATCTACCTGAAGTCACTCAGTAAGTCAGAAAACAAACTGGGCTCAGAACCAGGTAGGATCACCCATGTACATTAGTAACTTGTCAAAAAAACAAAACAAAACCAGATTGTCCCCTTATATGAAAGCACATACACTAAAGTAAGTGGTTTTGAGGCCACTTCAAAGTTCCACACTTTCTATGAAGGTTTCAGAAAACCTTTAGCAACTCAAGAACCACAAGGTAGGAACCAGAATCACATTAACTTTTTAGTTAAATATCTGACTCACAGACAATACCAATGATTACAATTCACTAACAACCTGGTAACCAACAAGGAGAAATTTTAAGGGAAAAATTCATCCATTCAAGAACTAAACCTCGGCACACAGCTCCTTTCCTGGCATCACCGTCTCAATTGAAACACCTAACCACTGTTTCCTTCCACATAATACGATACTCTTGTATTTGTTAGCATGTAATGGAGTGGGGTGGTGGGTTGGCAAAGTACGTGTGAGTGAGTGCATATGTAACCAGCCATTTTAGGGTCAGTTCTGCCCAGCAGAATATGCATGAAAATGTCTAATGTAATAGTTCTCTACCCTGATTCCTTCTTCTTTTTTGGTAATTTCTTTATTTCCTGACCTTGAGTTAATGTAAAAAGTAATGTTTTACTTCCCACCTTCCCTGATGAAGGCAGAGTCAATGGATGGATATAGCAGGGGCAATTTCAGCTTCATGGAAGGAAAGCGCTCTGAGGGTTAAAATTGCCTGGTGATAACTGAGCCTTTTGGACCAGGGTGTGGCCTGGTATTGCAAGTACTTCCTGCTAGAGGCTAAAAGACCATCTGTCCATGATGTACTGCCCCTTCCAATGCCAGGAATCCATATTCCCAGAAACAAACTAGGCTCACAGCAGTCCTCCTGCCTCCCAACTCCAGGTCAAGAAAGGCACAAAGATGTCCAACAAATAATACTGAAGCCGAGCTTTGGATCCAGGAGACCATGAGGTACCAGAAGAGTTCTGATGGCCCCATCTGGCAGTTAGGAAAGGTGAGGCACCAAGAGATAAATTAAATACTTTCAGTCATACTTGAGAAGGTACCAGAAATTTAAGGGAGAGACTCTCTTTTTTCCTGGGAAGGGAGGGGGTGAGACTCTACCAACAATAGTGAGCACAACTTTCAACAGAGACAAGTCTAGCTCTTCAGCCACCACAGGACAGCAGCCAAGGATACCATAATTGTCTTCAGAGTGGTGGAGCTGATTCCTTCACAGAGGGAATCCCTAACTCCAAACTCTGGGGCCCTTGAGACTGCATCCAGGGCTGAAGATTTAGGCAAGAACGGCCTGGGCAGGCACATAAGGTAGCTCTGCTTAAGGCATGGCTGCTGTCTGCCAGGCATGGGCTTCACACTGGGAGGTGAGCATCAAACACCACTGCCCACCCCAAACCATCCTGCAAGGAGCTTCATGGGTAGACAGTGTTGCCTGAGGAAACCACCACCTCCTGGGCCCAGGATTTCCATTAAAGCTTAACAGCATCACCAAACCAATCCATTTCTGTGCCCCTTGGGAGAATGAGAAAGAGACAAATTGATCATTATCTGTGGATGATTGTCTAACTAGAAAACCTAAGGGACTCAACTGAAAAAGTATCAGAGCTAATAATACAATTTGCTCTGGTGACGGATTGATAGTCAAGCATACAAAACACCAATGATTTTCTGGTTCACTTTGTGCATGGCCTGACACCTTGGAAGTGCTGTGCTTTTCTGGCAGGCCTCCAAGCTTTGTGCAATGTGCCATATTTTGAAAGACGGAGGTAATCCTGATGCCCCTCAGCTGGTGCAACTGAAAGCCTTCTCAGACACCAGTATTAGAAAGATGCCTTGGGCAACTGCGATTGAAGGGGTGTCCCCCTCCATGCTCTTGAGGGGTGAAGAGCTTCCTACGCAGCTACACTCTATTCCAACCCAAAAGACATAGAGAGGTTTGGCAAGGGTGGATGTAGGCAAAGACTGTGCCACGGCATCTCCAAACGAAGTAAATTTTTTTAAAAAACAGTGCAGAATGAAAAGTTCCATGTCTGTCCTTTCATTGCTTCGTTGGCCAGAAGCCTAGGGAGTTCATGGTGCTGGCCCTGGAGTTCCGCCCTGGGATTCTGTGCCAGTCTGGCCAGCGCAGCGCAGCAATCATTTGCGGTCGAGGCTGGCGTGTAGTTGGGCCTCCCGCACCATTCGGTCGAAGGAGCGTGTGTTGGTTTCCTCTCGCACCTTCTCACGCACGTGGAAGGAGGCGCGGGCTGTGGAGCGAGCACTTTCCAGCGCACTTCGTCGTTCCCGCGTCAGCTGCTCGCTGCGCTCCAGCTTCCGCCCAATTGCTTGGAGCAGCTCCCTCCGGCGGCAGTCTTCGTCTCTCTCTACCTTCTCCTTGTTAGCGCGCTGGGCCCGTTCTTTCTCCAACCGGGTCTGGCCCACGCGCCGGGCCTTTTGCTGCACTGCCTCTTCGGCCACCTGCGCGGCGTGCTGCAGCCGTCGTTCCCCGGCCCTAGCCAGGGCCTCCAGGTGAGCCTGATGTTCCCGCTCTTTGCGTTCTGCGGCTTCCTTGGCTCGCCGGCTTTGCAACTCCTCCTTCCGGGCCCTCTCCCTCAGCTCCCGGGTACGCTGTTCCACCAATTGCTCATAGTTTTCCTGCGCGCGGCCCAAGCTGGCCTCCAGGGAGCTCCGCAGGCCCTCTCGATCTTCATGCTGCTGCCGGGCTCGACCCCGCAACAACGCCTCGTGTCGCGCTCGTTCTGCACGACTCAACTCCCGCTTCTCGCGCTGCAGCTGGCCCTCCTGCCGCTGCTTGGCGCGGGCTGCTCGCTGGGCGCGCTCCCTGCGGACCTGTTCAGCCCGCTCGCGCCCTTCCTGCAGGCCCTCTTCCCGCTGCTTCAGGTTCTGTTCCTGCTGCAGCTTACGCAGCCGGTCCTCCCGAGCGGCGCGCTCCACCCGCTCCCGCCGCAGTAGGCCCTGGCGCTCGGCCAGCTCCCGCCGTCGTTCCTCGCTGCGTTCGCACTGCTGTTGTCGCCGTCGAGCTGCCTCACGCTCCTCGCGGCCCCGGCGGCCGCGTCGCTCCTCCACCTGCGCAGCCCAGGCCCGGCGGCCTTGCTCTAGGGCGCGCTGCTTCTCGCGCTCCTCCCGCTCCCGCCGCTGCTCGGCACGCACGCGCTGCTGCTCCCACTGGCCGTGGGCTGCGGCGCGCTGCTCCAGCAACAGGCGCTCCTCTTGGTGCCGCGCCAGCATGAGCGCAGCGATCTTCCGGTCCCGTTCTGGCACCCCGCGCAGGCCTCGCTCGGCGCGCACTTGGCGTACGATGCGCTCCACGTGCTGAGCAGTCTGCGGAGAGTGGCTCAGGTCGCCAAGGCTGAAGCTTCGGCCTGTAAGTGGAACCAGGGTAAGCGCCGAAGGACGGCCCAAAGGGTTGGAGACAGAGGACGCTGACCCTGCCGGGCAGCTGTTCCTGGCTGAGGCCCGGGGCGGCCAGCGAAGTTCTCGAAGGCTCTCCCCGCTGTAGGAGGACGACGATGCACCGGACTCGGAGCTGAGAGCACCGTCACGCCGGCGGGACAGAGAATCCAGCGAGTGGCTCTTTCTTCCTGTCTGAGAACCTGCGGGAGGAGGTTGGGTCCGAACAGAGGAAGGACTGGGAGAGGCCTTGCGGGCGGCACGCGGTGCGGGTGACGCGGGGAGGCTGGTGCTGCTGCAACTGCTGCTGCTACCCGCGCTCTGAGCTGGGGCTGATGCTGAGGCCGCGGCCGCGGCTGCAGCCGCGGGGCCCAACGGCGTGAAGAGGCGCCGCTTCTCTTCGCGTACGATTCGCTCGCGCTCGGCCCGGCACTGCTGTAATTTGGAGCGCCGCTCCGCCTCGTACGCCTCGTACAGGCCAGTGGCCACCCGCATGGAGCGGCCAGGGGCCTCGCGCACTAGGTCAGCCAAGGCCCGTGGCAGCAGCTCCACGGGCTTGACAGCACAGCGGGCGCAGGCCTCTAGCGAGCGGGGGCTGGTCAGCACGTAGCGGCTGCCCTCAGCCTCGGGACAGTCGAAGTTGAAGAGGTCGAGGTGCAGCATCGGGGACTGCTCCCGTCGTCCTCCTTCTGCTGAGCCAGGGACTTCTGCCTTGTGCGGCACCGCCGCGGAGGCCGAGGCAGAGGAAGCTGCGGGCTGCTGGGCGTCAGGGGGCACAGACGCGGTGGCCCCGTCCCCTTCCGAGCCTCCGGGCTCGGCTCCCTCCTTCTCCTCTTCAGGCACTGGGTCCACCATGGCTGAGCCTCGTCCTTTGTTGAAGTCTCTGCGAATGACAAGGAGGGACATAGAGGAATACAGCTGAGAACTGTTTTCCCCTCCTCATCCATATTCACCCCTCCTAACTTAATCCGATTTCAGATTAGGCTCAGAGGCCTGGTGGAACGTAAATCGTAAAACCGATGCCCTGAAAATCCAGGCTGGGGGGCGGGGGAGGGAACTGGTCCTCAGAGCAGCCTCAATCTCCCTCGGCCCCGGAATGCGAGTCCTGTGGTTAGCCCCCCTGGGCATCTAGCCCTCTAGATGCACCCCCATTCTACTGCAAGTTAAAATGAAAAGATACTAGTGCGGGCAGCAGCCATCGGGGGAGGCGGAGAGGATTCCCGGGCGGATTAGTGTATTTGTTTGTAGCTTAGGCGGGCTGCGGGGATGCAGCTTTGCAGGAACAAAAAAGGAAGAGGCCTGTTCATCCCAAAGTGCATTGCTGCAAGGACCCCATTTGCCTCGGGAAGAAGTTTACATTTGATTTCCACTGCCAAAGGAGATCCGTGCGCGGGCCCCCCGGGTGATGGAAGGACTGAAAGAAATCCCCAAAGACCCTTGCAGGAGGGTGATGGTTTCTTGCTCGTGTCTTTTGGGCAGGGCTTGCTAGGAGCTCTGCCCGCCCCCTCCACCCCCAGCCCCCACCGGGTGTTTACAGGAGATGCCGAACGCGCCTGCAGCCTCCCACATGCACCCAATCTCCTCCAAGTCTAATGTGCTAAAGGTTTCCTCCACTCGTCTGGGCTAGAACACCCGCCCCCTGATGCCCACCAGTTCTCCCACCGCATCTCCGCGGGCTGGGCTCCTTCAGCGCAGCGAGCCCAGCCGCGCCAGTGCCTGCCGCTTTGGGTTCCCAGATCGGTTCACTCACCCCACGTCCCGGGCTCCGGCCCCGCGCTGAGGGCTTTTGTTCGAAGCTCCGCTCTCTCCCGAGCCTCTTCAGTCTCTGCACTGGCGGGGTCGGGTTACTGCGGGCTGCAGCCACGAAAGGAGCCCCAGCTGCCGCCGCCTGCGCCTCTCCATGGGGTCCGCAAGCAGGGTGCAAACACCCCAGACACTACCTACACGCAGGAGGGGGAGTGCGACAAACTCTCCCTAAAATAAAGCAGCTCTGTTCCCTTCGCTCTCACTGATTCTTAAAAAAGGAAGCCGGGTTCCATCGCTGCATCATCCATCTCCACCTCTACAACCGTGAAGGTACCGCAGGTTTTTCGCTGCCCCCGGCGCCTCCTGGTGGACACATAAGGGATAGTTTATTTGCTTAGAGGATGAAGAAATAAAAAATGCAGCATCTATATACAATATGTATATATAATATTTATGTATACATGAATACTAAATAAACATCTATATGGATATATCACCAAGAAAACTAGGCTTTCTGAACCTTAGCTGAGTAGAGTGAGGGAATCACTCAGCTTATTTTTCAAGGGGATCCTGAGAAGCAAAGAAACTTGATAGGAATAATTGGGTGGACATGTGGCACCTGATCCAAACTGTAATTTTATTTTTAAAGAAAGACTAAGCATACTTATATAGATTCGAGGCAGGAAGAACATATGTGTCTAGTTAATGCAACATTTTATGACTTACTAGTTCCAGATATAAAATTAAAAGCAGTTAGAATCATTTCATGAGTGTTATGTTGAGATACCTTCTCCCCACCTCTTTTCCATTTTGAGTGGTACTGACCAGAAGAGAGGGATGGAAGAAATCCTTGAGGGAGGGGAATCAGGGGAGTATGAGGGGAAGAGCATCAGAGACCATGGTGAACTATGTTGTTAAAGAACTTTGACGTAGTAAAGTAGGCTGTAAGGAGAAAATGAAGAATTTTAAGCAAGGAAATAACATGATTTGGTTAATATTTGAAGAACATGACTCTAGCAACAATAGGGTGGGGACCAGGAGGAGGCAGGAAGCCCAGTTATCTAGACACTGCATTTACCCAAGGCAGGGAGGATTGGGACCAGAAAGAGAGACCAATGGCGGAGGAATGGGCCCTATGGGGAAGCCTATGGATTCTGGAAGCAGAGTCAAAGAATCAACACTCAAGGACGACATGGCTCTGGGGTGTGAAGACAGCAAAGGGTCAAGGCCGACTGCCTGGAACAAAAAGGTGGCTACATATGCCCCAGAGAGTGGATCCAACAGGGAGGTTTTAACTGGTGTGGGGGCCAAGGAAGGACAGGTTTCTTTTTCTACCACTTGATTGTGGGGCAAGATCCTAAACCAATAGTCTGAGATTTCCCAGGGAGGGCAGAAGAGAAGCTGGCAGGTAATGGTGCTGTTCTGGGAAAAATAGTCCATGAAGGAGGCCAAAAAGCAGAGGCAGGAAAGTGGTCTAGTGTAAGCTACTAGCAGAGCACTTCAGGAGAATGTGCCCTTATGCTCAGTCCTCAGCGGTCCAGAAGGATTCCTACTAGAGTCAAATACCTATGGAAACTGTCGATTGTCAGTCTTTGGTGAAACTGGCAAAAGTAGCTTAGTATAGTGCCCAAACCAGATACCACAGAGCAGGAAGTTGAGGTGCATGGGGGATGACAAAGTGAAAGTTACAGATCTTTTTGACATTGGATGATAGTGTTAGGAACTGTGAAGGGTTTGGAATTTTATCTCACTTATATGCTAGCAAGTGAGCCTGCCACAGTCTGTGTCACAGATGTTGACAAAAGACACGAGATTCCTGGGTCAGAAACAAAGGACCTTGTTACTCATGGCACAGTAGGCACATGAAGTTCATGGTTTTGCTCCACAGGTCCCACAGGGGCTTGTGGAGAGGTGAACCCAATTTGTACATGTCCTTACAAAATAACCCAGAACAGAAGCCTTATAAGACATGTAGAATGACTCAAAGGATTGCTGTCCGTGGAGAAAAGGAGCAATTGCTCACATGGCTGGTAAGAGGTGGGGCTGGGATTCGGACCTGGCTTTGTCTGATCCTGAATTGAACCCATATATTTCATTTCCACACAAAGCTGAGCATCTGGAGAGGTGTGGATTCAGGTGGAGATGAATGGGGAGGTCAAGTCGACCTCTCCAAGCCTGTATTTCCCCCTCTTTACATGGAATCCTATTAAGTTGCCTCCCTCAAAGATTAATCAAATCACCAGGAGCAGTGCACATGCCCGTAATCCCAGGATCTCAGGAGGCTGAGGCAGGAGGATTGTGAGTTCAAAGCCAGCTTCAGGAACTTAGTGAGGCCCTAAGCAACTCAGCAAGATCCTGTTCTAAATAAAATATAAAAAGGGCCAGAGATGTAGCTCAGTGGTAAAGTGCCCCTAGGTTCAATCCCTGAAACAACAACAACAAAAAGACTAATCGAATCTATAAAAGAGCTATATAAATGTTATCTTTCTCCTCAGTTTTAACATTTGTTAAATAGGGACAATTACATCTGCTTTGTAGGATTGTTGTCAGAACTGGAAAGACTATATACAAAGTACCTAAACCAACACACTAAGCGGTGATAAAATACTTACCATTTAGATACCTTATCTTCCAGGCTTGGTTAGAACCAATTTGGAAACATCTATAATGTTTGCCAAGTTCTCAGGGGGAAGCCCCTGAAATGTTCTACTCTTGATTGTGGCATGATTCATTGGGAAGGTCATAGAAGAGGGCATGAGAAGGGAGCCTTGAAACAGGACACAGCCCTAGCAGGCCACTTCAGCAGAGCTCGCCTGACAATCATGGGTTGCCACTGAACGGTTGGATACCCCATGTCTCTCATCCCTGCATCCTATGGGCTTTTCAGAGGATGGATTTCACATGAGTGAAGTTCTGACTTCCTACAAGTTGGAAGTCCTAGCTTGTCAAAGAGTAAGGGTGTTGGGGCTGGGGATGTGGCTCAAGCGGTAACGCGCTCGCCTGGCATGCGTGGGGTGCTGGGTTCGATCCTCAGCACCACGTAAAAAATAAAAAATAAAGATGTTGTGTCCACCAAAAACTGAAAAATAAATATTAAAAAAATTCTCCCTCTCTCTCTTTAAAAAAAAAAAAGAGCAAGGGTGTTATATCCAATTTCATTATGACACCCAGTAAAGAAAGCATCCAGTTTGGGAATACCCACCTGCTCCTTAGAAGTATAGTGGTGGAAAATAATACCTGCCTTGTAGAAATGTGGGTTTCAGAGTCATTTATGGCTTCACCAGGCTGTGTGATTCGAGGAATTTTCTTAACATCTCTAAGTCTCAACTTTTAGACTTTAAGCAAGGAAGGCATAATATGGACTATTGTTTTTGACTTGCACAAATCCTTATAATAATAATTTACCAGTTATGTTCTTAGTCCCTTTAACAAGTATCTCATTAATTTAGACAAAAAAGCATTCAGTGTAGACGTTATCACTTCTATTTAAATTCCTTTTGCTCAGCCCTACCACCTGCCTCAGTTCTGTACTCATTCTCTACCAATATAATCCTATTGTCAGAAGAGAGGATTTTTTAGTACTAGGGCCTGAAGCCAGATGCACTTTACCATTGACCTACATCCCAAGACCTTTTTCTTTATTTTGAGACAGAATCTCACTAAGTTACTGAAGCTGGCCTGGAAAATATGATCCTCCTGCCTCAACCTCCCGAATCACTGGGATAACAGACCTGTGCCACTGAACCTTGCTGAATGGAGGTTTTTTTTATTTTTATTTATTTATTTTAATACATACAATATCTTTCTTTATTTTCATTTATTTATGTATTTATTTATTTTTTGGTGCTAAGGATTGAACCCAGGGCCTTATGCATGCGAGGCAAGCGCTCTACCACTGAGCCACAATGCCAGCCCCCCAACTTTTAAAATATTTTTTTAGTTGTAGATGGACACAATATCTTTATTTATTTTTATGTGGTGCTGAGGATTGAACCCAGTGCCTCACACATGCGAGGTGGGCGCTCTACCATTGAGCTATAGCTCCAGCCCAGGTTTGTTTTTTTTTTTTTTTTTAATATTTATTTTTTTTTTTAGTATTTGGTGGACACAACATCTTTGTCTGTATGTGGTGCTGAGGATCGAACCCGGGCCGCACGCATGCCAGGCAAGCACGCTATCGCTTGAGCCACATCCCCAGACCCCCCAGGTTTGTTTTTTAACTATAAAATTCTACAACACGGCTGATCATGGTTGTACATGTCTGTAAGTTCCAGCTACTTGGGAGGCTGAGATTGGAGGATCACTTGAGTCCAAGAGCTTGGGGCCAACCTAGTGAGACCCTGTCTTAAAAAATATTTTAAAATCTATGCCAGGAGTTGGAAAAGTATGGTGTGGGGGCAATTCCACTGCCTGTTTATATAAATCAAGTTTTATTGCAACACGGCCATGGGTATTGGTTTGCACATTGTCTGAACTGCTTTTGCACAAAGGCCAATTTGAATAGTTTTGACAGAGACCTTGACTCACAAAGCTTAAACTACTTACTATTGGGTTTTTTATAGAAAAGGTTTACAAACCCCTGTTCTTATGAAAAATAATAGCTTGTGTCAGCAATCATTTCTTGCTTTCCAGCTCCAAATTCAGCTTGTAGTTCCTGCTCTGGGAAATGTACTTTTTAAAGTATTTTCTGAGGGGCCAGTGAGCCTATGTGAAGGCTTGCCAGTAGAGGGCGCTGCAAGGAGGCTGCAGGAGGAAAGGGGCTTGTTCCCGGCACCCTGCGATTTGCCTTTTCTTGCTCCTGCTATATGTTTAGTGCTGTAGGTGTGTGGGAATATCCCATGGTACTCTGCTGCAGTTGCATGCCCAGAGTAGTCCTTTGGTGACCCCATCTGTTGACCACCTTCCTGCGCTGTCCTGAGGTTGACCCTGTGTACCGGCATTGTGTCTGTAGTAGTGTTCTGACTCCCACACACTAGAGTCACCTGCAGCTTTGCACATGGTTTTCTGCTGCCCAACACCTGTGGAGCTCTGCCCCGAGCAGACTTCTCTGCCACCCAGTAGACTGCAACCTCATTTTCTCCAAGGGGGTCTGAACCCTGATCTTGAGAAGGAATCTCCCCTTCCAAGTGTCCTCCCTTGAACACTCTGCCTCAGGCTTAAGGAAGTTTTAGAACTCTCTTGATGCCTTTATATTACTCTCCTTTCATAGCTAAATACCTCTTTAAATAATCTTCCTCTGTTTAAATTACTGTGTGGTTTCTGTCTCCCCATTGGATCCAGACCAATATACAACTTAAAGTGTTGCCATTTCCGATTCTTGGG